GAGGACCGTGGGGCAGGCCGCCCCTGCCCCTTTTGCCCCCCTCACCCTCTTGCCCTAGCGCCCACTCACTGCTCCAGCCCTGCCCTCCCCGCCGGCCTTCCCCAGGAGGTGGCGCTGCTGCCCTGTCTCAGCCGGCGCTGCGGGCCCTGCCCGGGCTGGAGGCGGCTGCCTGGAGGGAGAACGCCATGCCCGCGCACATTCACACCCACACGCGTGTGCACACGCTCCCCCCAGGGTGGCCAGCGAGGCACTTGGACCCGGTCCGCCGTCACCCGCCTGAGTTTATAAACAGCAGCAGCTCTGCCGGCCGTGGCGGATATAAATACCTCTAGGAACAGTGGGCTCAGCTGGGCGCTGGCCTCATTGGCTGGGCGCCGGGGTGGGGCCTGAGCCTGTGCCAAGTGGCGTTCCGAGTGGAGGCTGCTATTTCCGGCCTCTCGGCGTCTATAAATCCCCGTTACTGTAGTTACCACGCGTCGAGATGGAATTAGAACTGATTGTTGTGTTTTTCCCCCCCGAACCTTGCAATTTCCCGGCCTGAAATAGTGTTTCTAAAATTGAAGCTGTCATGATGTCCCATGACCCAGCTAAAAGCAACAGCAGCGCTTACGTGCTCCTTTCCCGCCAGGCTGGCCCGGGGCCAAGGCTCTGGGGAGCCAGCCAGGGGCCAGCGCCGCGTGAAGACCCCCAGGCTACCCCCTCCGTCCCCCTGAGCCGAGCCTTCCTCCCCTGAAGTCCGTCCAGAGGAAGGCCGGGCGGCCCCTGCTGCTCCCTCCCCTGCCCTCCAGGCCAGCACAGGGGCGGGCAGAGCACACCAGCTCGGACAGCCCCACGTGTGTCTTTACCTCTCTGTCCCCGTTTTTTGTAATAAAATGAGGGAAGTATAAAAAGGGGGGATGAGGGAAGTAGTGCCTGCCCCAAAGGCGCATGTGGAAGGAGGACTGAGGGTGCAGGGAGCCTTGAGTGGTCCTTGCTCACAGCAGAGTAACTCAGGAAGGCCAGACCCTGCCTGGGGGCCTTGGGAGGCAGGAGGGGGTGGCTGAGGGGGGCAGCAAGCCACCGACAGGGCCCCTGGTCTGCAGTTGCTGTGGCGCTCCCGGGGTGGGGGTGGGGGGGTACAGGCCTCATCCTGTTGGAGTGGAGGGGTGGCACCCACAGCTAGAGAAAGCCCCACACGGTACCGCTCCTCACGCCCTGCCCTGAGCTTCTAGCTCCCTGCCCGTCCCTCTCTAATCTGAAAGGCCTGCTCAGCCCTGGCGATCCACAGCCCCCATTTCCAGCCCCTGGGGTGAGGCAGCTGCCCCCCCCCCCCCCAGCCCTATCACTGCCAGGCAGCGGCTGGCCATTGTCTGCTCCCCCACTAGACTGTGAGCCTCAAGGGCACCACTCAGATCTCATTCACCCAGTCATCCCTGGAGCCTAGCCTGGCGTCTGCACACAGTAGGTGCTGGATAAACACAAAGGTGACGCTCAAGGCCCCATCTAACGGAGCTCTCCCTCACAGCCCTGGCGCTTCCAGAATTCCTCCTGCTCCCCAGATCGCTCCCGCTCTGAGAGCCACGTGGAGCCTGGTTACACCGATTGTTGGTCCACCGGTCTCTCCCACTTGTCCCCGACGGCCTTCCTCCTCGGCCGTGGGCAGCACAGCGCGTTAGCAGGATGGGGCCGTGGCTGCTAGGCTGGCCTTGGGGGGCGCCGCCCGTTTCACATGCCTTTTGGAAGCACCTGTGTTATCACCCATCTGCCCCTTCCATGTGCCCTGGCCTTCTGGGCGGGGGCTTGTCTTAGGAGTGTTTGGGGGGCCAGCCCTGCCTCTCATCTGGGTGTTCTGAGCTGTTGACAAAACACCTCTGAACCCAGCTGACCCTGAGGTGCCAAAGCCCCCCAAGGACCCCGTTCTGTGCCGATCCTGCTTGTCCTCCGGGTTGCCTCTGCCCTCCCCCCATTGCTCGCTGAGACCCCTGACCCCCACCCCCTTCTCTCTGAACCCACAGATGGGCTTGTCAAGAGACTGGAGGAGCTGGAGCGGACGGCTGAGCTCTATAAAGGTGGGTGCACCTGGCCGGGGTCCCGGGGGCCTGCTCCAAAGATGGTGGCGGGCGTGGGGGGTAGGAACGCCAGCCGAAAAGTTCTAGGACCGAGGCCATTAAGAATTCTTTTAAAAAGAC